TATGCATCCCCCTTATGGCAAACTTCCCCTTTCTAACGTGCGCCATGCACATGAGACATGTGAGATTTGACCGTTACTTACACATGCGCATTGTAGAGGGGGATTTTTTATGGAGGGGGTTGGTTATTACCATTGCTACGCCTGCGTTCTTCGATCCTCACTTTATTTCTCACGTGTCATCGATACGGTCAAGGTTGCAAAGACCTTCTTCAGCTTACTTATTCAGATATTGTGCTATGCGCTCATTAAAAATTCGATTTAAGTAAGGCCAGCAAGAAAAACGCATTGAGCGATAGCTCGGTTGAATTCCACAGTCGCGGTGGCCAGCAGTGGGTCTGCATTCCGTAGAGACGGTTCCATCCTCCGCTTTTCGCATAGCAACGCAATGTGGAAGTGGATCTGCATCCCCGTAGGAGCCAGTCTAGGTATGCGTGTCGGCGCACCATATATCTACAAGAGTACTTGAGCTTTCACGGTTCTATTGTGCGTCATTGGATGCACGCCTCATTGTCGCAAAAACGTTCGCGCCTACCTGGCGTGTGATAGTCGCCGCTAGCGTACGCACGCATCGCCGTTATTTCGCATGACCAACTAAGCATGTCGCATGTTCGCATGTCGCACGTAGGCATGTCGCATGTCGCAGCGTAGCATGTCGCACGTGAGCAGTCGCAAATGTCGCATTGTCGCACGTTAGCATGTCGCACGCTAGCAATGGGTCGCATGGTGCGCAATGTCGCCACGGTCCGCACGTAGCATGGTCGCATGTCGCACGTAGCATGTCGCACCGTGGAAGCATGTCGCATGTCGCACGTAAGCAGTCGCACGTCAGCATGTCGCAGTCGCATGGTCGCACGTAGCATGTCGCCTGTCGCACGTTTAGCATGTCGCACGTAGCATGGTCGCACCGTAGCATGTCGCCGTTAGCATGTCGCCATCTCGCATGTCGTCACTTAGCATGGTCGCACGTAGCATGTCGCACGGAGCACTTGTCGCTGTCGCACGTAGCGGGACGCACTAGCATGTCGCCATGTCGCATGATCGACGTAGCATCTCGCCATGTCGCACGTAGCATTGTCGCACGTAGATGGTCGCATGTTGCATGTCGCAACTGAGTCGCACGAGATGCGAACGAGGGCGCTGCCAACAACATAGGCTCACGAACAACGCAGACCATTCACGGGCGGATAGCACGGCATTCGACTATCGCACGGATTTCACATGAACGCGTGTAAAACTCAAGTGGTCTTTAAATCGGAGCAAGTTAGCATGTTAGCCACAGTTAGCTGTAAATGGGACAAGCCGCCGTTAACATTGTGTCGCTCATGTTTGGTCGGAATCTAAGCATCAGATAGAGCTATCTATAATAGGCAAATCAGGCGCGCTGAATAATAATAGATCGTACTATTCTATTCACTCCAGATTAGAATCAGGATCTATAGCTTATCTTAGATAGGTCTAATGTGTGTCAGCATAGATGGATCCTAGACGAGAGACGTTGGATAAACGATGTAGCTGCGCCAGACAACCGTCGATACACTGTCTACAACGTATCTACCGACGATTAACGTCTGCAAGCTTTCGAGGGTCTAAAGAAAAGTGTGTATTCCCCACGCATCACCCGTCAGGTATTGGGGATTTCGATTAAGGACATAAAGTATTTGCATCGCTTCTGCCATCGATAGTCAGCTGGACGCGTACATTGGCGGGCATATAAACTATTACGCTCATGTGCGGACGTAACCCGCAACAACGGCACTTTGTTTACCTAAGGCCACCACCGGCCATCGCGTATACGTATATCTGGCCGACAGGCTATTGCTTGTGACGTATTATATAAGCAAATATGCGGGATGCTTTAGGGTGTTGAGAGGTAAGGCGTGCTATCGGGATTATGGAGGGGTACAAAGGTTAGGCCTTGTGGAGGCCCTCTGCATGGTTACGCATGCGTAGTAGATTGAGGCATTACTGATGATCTAGTGCTAGCTGCAAGCATGTTATCAAAAACAGCGTTTTTCTTTTGCGACATCGTGGGACTGATGTAGCCGCAAATATGGCGACCCTCTAATCGTTGAAGAGCCACCGTGGAGAATTTTGTCCGTCTTCTTACCACTACCTACCGGCACCATCACGGTACTTGCGGACATCGGAGGGCGCTTGTGCGCGCGGAGCCGCGTAAGAGCAGGGTAGAGCGACTTAGGTCCAAGAGATGTGACAAAGATGGATTCAACAGCTTATGGAAAAAGCCTACTGCAGAATCGGCGTATTGTTAGGCGTTTTCTTAGATGAGGTCAGAAATGGTCATCCGCGCCGCCGCTCGCACTAGTACTGCCCTTGCGAGCTGTGTGCGGCAGGTTAACGTTCGTTTCAATTCTATATCTAGGTGTCGTGATTGCGCCACTGCGTGGAATCTGAATGGAGACAACAACAGGCAGCGAGTGGGGATTGGGCGCAAGCTTTGCTATAGGTCAGGCGCACTGTTAGTACTTCATACGCGTAATTTTTCTGTGAGACTCGCAGTGGCAGTGGATGTGGGCGACAATATATGTAAATTGCGCTTTATATTGCTTCATAATGAATCGAGATAATTGCGCGTTTTAATCTTATGTCCCTTTCTGTGGCATACTTTTTGGATGGCCCCGGTGATACCCCAACCCACCCCCACCACGAGATTCTACAAAGTGGCGTGCGCTCATGCATAACGACCGAGGTGTGGGACATTGAAATGGACGATGCCCAATTACACTGTTTTACTTGTTATTTCGAGGTAAAATTGTCTACTTGCATATACACGCACCACAGCACACACACACGCACGCGCGCGCGACGCTGACGACGCGCGCAGCACGCACGCCACCAGCACGCACGCACACGCACAGCCCCGACGCACAAGCACGCACGCACGCCGCGCACCACACAGACACACACACACACACGCGCGCGCACGCACGCACGCACGCACGCACTGCACACACAGCACACACACACACACACACACACACGTAGATGCACGCACACGCACACACAGCGCACACACGTAGCAACGCCCGCCCGATACGCACCATACACCACGCACATACGCGATATACACACACCACCACACACACTAGCGGATATCAAGATGTTAAGACTCATTCTCGAATCTCGAGCATAAATGAACCGATTTGCGGCAATGAAATGGATGGCGTTTCGATGAGGTTCGTGTTTTCGTAAGAAAACCAGATTAACTTCTTGGCATACTTGTGCTACGCGTAGTATTATGGAGTTATTGTGGTTATGATCTGTTTGAGGTAAAAAAATAAGGACAATCCATCAAACAAACAAACACTACTATTGTAGGAGTACATATGGCTCTAATGCAAACCCCATACCCTAAACCCCTCCCTCACTTACACGCACTCAATACGCACACACGCACGCGCGCGTGCACACACACAAACACACACACAAACACACACACACACACATATATACACACACACACACGCACGCGCGCACGCACGCACGCACGCACACACGCACACACACACACATACTTTATACGTACGCCACACTCGCTCATCGAAATGTTTTTGCTTTACTAACAATAATGATACTGCGATAAAATGACATTATGTTCATCGAGTTATAGTTAAGCCATAGTCAGGAATGCGAATATAGCAACGTTAGTAATGCAAATATTATATTATTACTTTCGTACTACTAACTTAACATATAGAGTACGTGTAGTTAATACTTAGTGTATGCGGTGTATAGGATATGGTTATTAATCAGCAGTTAGACAGATGTAGTCGTGCTTCAATGCCGAGTTAGACCCTGCCCCCCCCCAACTGTCCAGTCTGTTCACCTGCCCCACCGACCTGCATCATCACGTTGCTGTCGTGTGGGGGCTTAATCGCGCCCTCCTATAACTCCACGGGCGAAGACAGTAAAATTAATGTCTAACCATGCTGAACCGGAACCGGTCAAGGAAGAGGAGACAGATGAAGAGTGAGAACAAAGTTAAAAAGAGATATCATATATACTGGCTCGGCCGTCGCTCATAATAAAAATGACTGCGTTCCTGCTGAAACAGGCCCGGCAGACTCGAAAAATAAGCAAGGCTACCCTACGCTGCCACTGCCAGGATTCAACTCAGCATCACGAAAACATTGGGCTATTCGGCGAACAGATTGAGAGCGGGACACGGTAGAACTGCAGCGAACTTACACCGATGGGGACTTACAGATGCACCAATCAAAGCATCGATCAACAACCTCAAAGCATCAATCCTCAAACATCAAACTCCAAAGCATCGATCATCTGGTGCTGAACTGTCCGGTGACGAGGATATGTAACCATAAATGAATGTGGCGAACTCTTTTGCAACTAGATTGCCCGTGGGGCTGTGGAGGTGTGATGCTGACGCCACACGATACTACTACTACTACTACTATATACTACTACTAATAATAATACCTTGCGTTCAATCTATTTTTTTGAGTGTGGTTCTCCTGCTTATATGTACGACTCGCTACGTGCGCGCCAAGTCTCGCTCGTTCTGACACAACTTCGTGTGTGAAGCGAAGGGCTGCACCGTATCGCTACGGATCGTATTGATCGATGCCACGAACAATAAAGTTAGCGATGAACGACCATCTTTATTAATGGTAGCCTTCATCGGGTTCTCTAGCTCTGCAATGCTAAAAACGGCTGTGTTACCGAGTTAATTACACTTATGTAGCCCAAGCTCCTGCTGGTAATGTCGTGTACCCTATTGCTCATGCGTACGTTATGAAGCTATATCAATAGTATAATCCTAATCCTATCCTCATAGGCGTCCTATGAGTTGAGTGGTAGACTACGAATGTAATAGAATCACCGATATTTATTCATATTTATATATAAGACAATACTATTTCATTTTTATAGATTTATTATTATTAATATTTTTTTTGGCAAAAGCAGGCGATTCAAGAGAGAGGTAGAGCGGAGATAATGCTGAACGTCTCATTCTTTTGTAGGTGGCGAGGAAAGCGCGCTATCGACTAAAGGTGGTCGTGGAGGAGCTGGGTAAGGGGCCTGGCCACGCGGCGTACAAACTCACACTGCTCACCCTCATCAACTCTCTCATCGACAACGCCGAGTCGAAGAGAGAACGAATTCTCATCCGAAATGAGTTCATTGGTACGTATGAGAACGCATATGCCCCGTAGTAATGCTCTGTATATATAGGTACAAAGTAACAAGCACGTATAAACCCTTTATGGGTTGTATATGCTCTTGAATGTGTATATATATATATATGTGTGTGTGTGTGTGTGTGTGTGTGTGTGTGTGTGTGTGTGTGTGTAGTGCTAAGACTTTGAGGAATAACAGCATAAATACCTGGTGTAAAATTGTGGAAGTGTTCAAAAAGATAGGTGAGATGTCCATGTTGATAGATAAGTGTTAAAAAGCCCGATCATTTTACGTTTTGGGGATAAATTTTTGGTCACATCAGTTGGACCATTTGCTTAGATTACATCTATGGCAGAATGTGCTATAGCCCTGCGGCAGCGATCCGCGGGCTATAGTACTAGAGCTAGATCTGCGCATGCACCTGACCACGCGTTTTCACAGTACAGTTACGGTGTAGAATAAGGGCGTAGTATTGACCTCGTCGCATTTGGCTAAATTATCAAGGTTTGCAGCATAGTAAGCCTATATGAGGTCTAGTCATATATCACCACGTTCAGTTCACGATCAGGATAAAAGAATAAACAGAATAATCGAGACACTGGATGGTACCAACGTTTGGGCACACTGAACAATTCCTCGTCGTATGAAACTTGAGAATTAATGCACATATTGATTGGCAATAAAAACCACTATCCAACTCCACGTTGAGCTTAAACTATAGTATGTGGCTTTATGTTCAAATGTTAAAACTTCGTATGTAAAAACACAATTATATGGTATAGTTTATCGCCTCCGGACATCATAGTAGCGAATCACGCATGCCTCTTTATCATCGAAGGATCAGATGGCGCGCGCGTTTCAACCTCTGTCGCACGTCGCCATGGCGGCGTGCCATTGTGAACTATTAATAGAAAGGTGAAACTGTACTATTCTCCTTATTCTAAAGAATTTCCAAAAGAGCAGCAGCTGCGGAGCGAGTTTGCGAGAAACGCAAGGGAACAAGACACAGGCAAGAATGAGCGTTGCATGCACTGTACAGTCAATCCCGCCTTAACCGACACCGTTATAGAATTATATAGCACTATAGTCTGCGAAGAACACCCAGCATTTTTCGTTAGTTGCCGTAATGCAGTGACAGCACTTCTAGATAACGGACACCTGCCATTAAATGTTTTTTTTGGCACTTGCCTTGGAGTACCCGTTGTAAACAGTCGTCTTTGCGAGCCGCTGGCCCAACGCAAGTATTACAGACATGCCTGAGCTATAGAGACCGTATTATTATATTTAATTTATATCTCATTGTGGAATACGAATTAAACCTCAGGGAGAATTTCGAAAGCCCAGAGGGCTCATACTAATAATTTCGAACATGACTAACAAATAAAATGCCTATTTTAATTAGTCAGCCTATGAATGAAAAGTAACACATAATCTGACCGGTGGTCACAAATACTGTTTATATTTCCGATGTCGATTTTCGTTTAAGTCTTCTGGGATTTTGTAGAAGCTGCAGTTGTGTTTAGGTCTGTCAGCCAGCTCTGTCATTACGTAGGATAATCCTTACGTGCATACAACAATTAGACTAGTGCGTGTCATACAGCATTAACAGGGCGATCCTACTGACACAGTCTGCGTAAGATCACAAAAAATCAGGAAGTGGTGATTTCAAATGCGCCAATTGCTCGCTGGAATTGCGTAATGGAAATAATTGTGTTAATTGTATCTATCCCGCGGGCATGCAATCTTACGTGCATGCGCGCGTGCATGCGGGTACACGTACGTCTGCGTGCCTGCGTGCCTACGTGCATGCGTGCGTGCATGCGGGTGCATGAAGTGTGCGTGTTGTGTGTGTGTGTGCGTGTGTGTGTGTATAGATATTTTTTTTTCGCGTAATGCTACGTGCGACATGCGACATGCGACATGCTACGTGCGACATGCTACGTGCGACATGCGACATGCTACGTGCGACATGCGACATGCGACATGCTAGTTGCGACATGCGATAACGCGATGCGTGCGTACGTAGCGGCGACTATCACATCGCCAGGTAGCGGCGACGTTTTCGACAATAGGCGTGCATCATGACGCACAATAAACGTGAAACTCAGTACTCTTGTAGATTTACACGTGCGCGACGCATACCTAGACTGTCTCTACGGGATGCAGATCCACTTCCACTTGCTTCTCTGCGAAAAGGAGGAATGGACCGTCTCTACGGGATGCAGATCCACTGCTGCCACCGCGACTGTGGATTCACCGAGCTTATCGCTCAATGCGTTTTCTTGCTGCCTTACTAAATCGAATTTTTTATAGCGCATAGCACAATATCTGAATAAGTAAGTGAAGAAGGTTGAACCTTGACCTATCGATGACACTGAGAAATAAAGTGAGGGACGAAGAACCGGCGTAGCATGGTATACAACCCCCTCCATAAAAAATGCCCCTCTACAATGCGCATGTGTAATAATGGTCAAATCTCCATGGCCATGTGCATGCGCACGTTAGAAAGGGGAAGTTTGCCATAAGGGGGATGCATACTATCAAGAGCAGATAAAGAAGGCTGCTCAGACCTTCTTTATCTGCTCTTGATACTATGCTACATCTGCATTGTTTGACATGGTACTGCGTCAGGTATGATCTGCGCTAGCTCTAGTACTATAGCCCGCGGATCGCTGCCGCAGGGCTATAGCACATTCTGCCATAGATGTAATCTAAGCAAATGGTCCAACTGATGTGACCACAAATTTATCCCCAAAACGTAAAATGATCGGGCTTTTTAACACTTATCTATCAACATGGACATCTCACCTATCTTTTTGAACACTTCCACAACTTTACACCAGGTATTTATGCTGTTATTCCTCAAAGTCTTAGCACTAAAGAGTCACGCGTGCACACATAAGCAGAGCAACCGCATTTGAAAACAAAACACCAGTACTGTAGTGCTAAGACTTTGAGGAATAACAGCATAAATACCTGGTGTAAAGTTGTGGAAGTACGTGTTCAAAAAGATAGGTGAGATGTCCATGTTGATAGATAAGTGTTAAAAAGGCCGATCATTTTACGTTTTGGGGATAAATTTTTGGTCACATGACTCACATCAGTTGGACCATTTGCTTAGATTACATCTATGGCAGAATGTGCTATAGCCCTGCGGCAGCGATCCGCGGGCTATAGTACTAGAGCTA